GGAAATAAATTTGTAATAAAGTCTATAATTATCTTTTTCTAAAGTTTATAGGGAATAGGAAGGGTTTATAACTTATTATATAGTTTATACTTTTTAATAATAATATACTAATATACTAATATATTATATATGTTTTAATATGTATTTTTATATTCTTTCTTATTGAAAACTAAAAATATTTAGATTTCAAGATTTTTAAAGTTTTGGATATACTCCAATATTTATTTATAAGGTCATTGTAATAGACTTTCAAAATCTCTACTCTCAAAACAAAATCTGATAATATATAGGCGTTCCCATTATATTTAAGAAGCCCATCAGCACCCACCTACCAAAATAAAACAATTCCAGCAAAGTATAGTCTTTAATTTAAATACTTTTTATTCTTTATAAAATTGTTATTTGCTTAAAAACATAATAAAGTATTTCTTATTATTTCTAATATTAGCTTAAATACTATTTCGTTTTCTATTAAAATACAAGCTATTCAATATAATATCAACTGTTTACAACTAGTTTCAATCAATAAATATTTAAATTTACAAAACAATAAACTATACCCTTCTTTTTATAAGAAACCTATAATATTATATAAAAACTCTGTTTTCCTAATAAAGAAATTTTAAAACAGATTTATAATTATCAACCTATTTCTTAATTTATTCTGAAAAATCGAAAGTATATCATTTATACTATCCATATCAATAGTGTAATTAGGGCAGCGCGATAGTCTATTTATAGAATTCAATCTTCTGGCTTTATATATTATCTCGAAATCATATACAACCAGAATTTCCGCCTATCTTACTTATCAACTATTTAGACTTTTCTTTGTTATAAAATATTAGAAATTATTATAATTCAATTTAATTACAACAATATATCGATTTTCTATTATATAATAGTATTACTATACAAAAACAATATATATTACTAGTAATTCTTAATTATAAATGAAATATTATTGTTTTGCTAAACTTAGCTTTCTTAAATAGAATATAATAAGGTGTTATTATTAGATCAATACCTCTTTGATTTCTTTCAAAAAAAGCTATAACAATATATAATCCAAAACAAAAATCGAAATATCGGTTTCGATTATTATATAAAGTAAGGAATCGAAATGCTAAAGAATAAATATTGATATAAAGGTTTTCTTTAATACTTCGAATACCTTTTGTACTTTGTTAATCTACTTGAATTCGATTATTATCTCTTCTTTCTTTATTCCCTTCAATAATATAGTTATATCATAAACCATCATTAAATAGGCTTTAATAAATTGTTAGTAAAAGTTCGCGAAATTAAGAAACATTTATATATCTCTAAAACTATTAAATATTAGCCATTTCATTATAGTTTGAATACAGCCTGGTTTCATAATAATACCTGCAAACGAAACAACATATTCCAGGAATTCTATTTTATTAGTATAAAAAATATATTTTTTTAGCTTTATATAGAGCTTATATTCAATAAATCGCGCGAGGACTTTTCGAATATCCATCATATATGTAGTTCTATTTTTTGAATAGATTAGAATATTATTAAGATATACTACACAAATACTATTCGTTAAGCTGGACAAGGCTTGATTAATATATATCTGAAATGTTGTAGAAATATTGGTGAGGCTGAAAGGCATTACCCTATACTTATATTGGCTATATTGTATATAAAATATAATTTTCTACTTATTCCTTATTCTTATATAGATTTGATAATAAATATTTCATAAATCTAATTTGATAAATATAATATTTTATTGAAATTGGTTTAGGGATTTGCTAATAAAAGGTAGAGGGATTCGATTTTTTTTGATAATCTAATTAAACTTTTAATAATCGATATATAATTGATAGTCTTCTTTTTTTTTTGGAATGAATATAATAAATACCCCTATCAAGCTGATAGATCTTTTTATTCACTCTTTTCTTTAATACTTATCTAGATATTCTTATAATATTACTAACTCTTTCTTTAATAAAAAATAAATCAAATCCCAAAAAGGAATTGAATTAGATTTGAGATTAATATAATACTCTATCGGATAATATTTGGATAGAAAATTACTTTTGTCTTCCAAAAAAACCTTTTTATATTCCTGAAATTCTTTTGATATTTTATATAAGATTAATACGAATATTAAATAGTCCCCTTTTATTTTTAATTACAAAGCCATTTTATCTAAAAAGATTACAAAGACTGCTTTATCTTCCTTTATTTCCCAATAAAATTCTTTTATAAAAATGATTTCGAAATTATTCAAAATAAAACAATATCGGAATGATATTGATTTCCAATTGATATTAGAATTGACTATTTATAATTACAAAAAATCTAGAATAGTATTTATTTATAATAGATTCAATACTATTAATATAAAGCTATAAATATAGATTCTCTTTTCCTTTTTTTTATCTTTTATTTCAATAAAGAATTTATAATCCCTATATAATATAATTGTAATATCATTTATTAATATAAGAAGAGTACTTTTTTTGATAAAAATCTAATTCCATTTGATATACTTATTTTGCTATATAATATTAACTTATACTCCCAAATCAATAAAACATCAAAATATTATCAACTTATTATTATTATTAAAAATCACTATAATTATAAAGATTATTCATCTTTCTTTATATAAACCTAATATCAATAAGATATTTATTATAATTACTAAATCTAAATATTTTCTATATAGATAATCTCAAAGAGATTATTTTAGTATTTATTTTCTTTATACCTTCCTTTACAATATCTATATATAAAATTATTCCAATAGTTCAAAGCAATATACCCTTTCTGTTAGTATTTATAATATATAACAATCCATATATATTCTATATACAATATATTAACAAAATGTTTTAATATTTTAAAAGATTCCTTTCAAAAAAGTTGATTGGATTCTTAAATCTTTATTTTAACAATTAAAATCAGATTATTTTCTAAATAGAAATATTTAAAAATATTTTAATATCGAAAAAGTAATTGATTATACTTATAGAATCGATATAAATCCCTTATATCTTTTCCTTAAAATAATTTCTTTATATTTTCTAGTTTACAAGTTTGTTTTATAAGTTTATTATATAACTCAAATTATTATAAAAATTCTAATATTTTCCTAACTATATTAAATAATAAACCCACTAAAAACCTTTCGATTCAAACACTCTCTACCTCCTATTCGATATCTTTCTTAAAGCCTTTTAAATAGATTATAAATATATTTACAATTTCTCCTTCTTTTTGCTTTATATATACAATCTTTTAAATTACTTATTACTATTTAATTCTTTTATTTATAATAGTATTATATATATATTCCCTAAAATTTTCTTAATTTATTTCTTTATAATTTAATTTGCTTATATACCAATATCAAATCGCTAGAGATAATTATTTAAAGTATTAGATAATATATTTTATTTTCTTAATATTAATAAGAAAATAATATCCATTATCGCTTCGAAATATAATTTCTATCTGAAAAAAAAAATTCTTAGTTTCTTTAATATTCTTTTCTTTATATTATTTCAATCTCTATAACTTCAATAATTTTCCTTAATTAAGATTAATATTCTGATAGATTATATTCGATACAATTATAGATTGGTTATATTCGATTGGAGTAATTATATATAAGATATAGTCTATAGTTACCCTATAAGCCTCTTTTATAATTGCTATTTCTTTTTTTATTTCTTTAAATTATTGGATTAATAATATATTCTTGTTGTTATTAGGGAAATACAATTAAGCTAAATAAATATTATTATTGATACTTTACAGAAATTGATTAATAATTTCATCGAATTGATCTTGAATTATATTATAGATATTCTATTCTTTTCTTAAAATAGGTATTTTTCTTATTGAAATTATAATGATACCGATAATTACTTGATTAAAAAATAGTTAACGGATTACTCTATATATAGAATAAAAAGAATTATTAAAATAGATAATAACAATAAATCAATTAGATATAATATAGTATAAAGACTTTTTATTAATTCTTTTAAACTATAAAAATTCTATAATTTATAATTATATACGGATTAGCATCAGCCCGAAGTAGCTCCGCAGGGGCTACTCACATGCCCTCGCCAGCCCTTACACGGATTGACCGTGACAAATATATAAAATCAATATATAAAATCAATATATAAAATCAATATATAAAATCAATATATAAAATCAATATATAAAATCAATATACAAAATCAACATACAAAATCAACATACAAAATCAATATATACAAGTGAAAAGAAGAGAAGAGAAGAGAAGCATTATAAAAACACCATTCACAAACTTCAACTTTCAACTCTCAATTCTCAATTCCATCACCATCACCATCACCATCACCATCACCATCACCATCACCATCACCATCACCATATATACACACCTCAAAGGTATTATTCATACAGTAATTCCTAATTCATATTAATCTTCATATCCAATCTAAACATCACCCATCCATCCATCCATCCATCCACCCATCCATCCATCCATCCATCCACCCACATTCGACACCTGATTCATTTCACTCTGCAGATGTGATCACTGACTTGTGCTTCTCTTATACATAGTACACATTGTATACCTAGGTAAGATTGTATGGTGTATATAATACATCCAATCCAATCCAATCCAATCCAAATCATCAAAACAAAATAGGTAACCTTAAAGCAAACCAAAGCCAATCACACTTGTGACAACATGGACAACCATACACTTTCCCATACCTCAATTTCAATTTCAATCTCAATTTCAATTTCAATTTCAGAACTTACATTACAAGAAGTCACATGCATCATGTAGATGGTATTCAATCCGATTTAATTCATTAAGTAACACATCCATCCATCCATCCATCCCTCCCTCCATCCGTCCATGCAATGCGTAAATGCTCCTCTCCATTTGCTCAAATCCATCTAGATATGCCGTACCAGTATACTTCCTTTTCGATTTTACAAATCTCTCATTTTGATTTCCTCTTCCTCTTCCCATCGATTTGTTCATCCTCTGCTGCAACATCATCTGCTTTTCTCTTCTTGTCCTTTTTTGATTTTTTCTCTTTCTTACTCTCTACTTCTGGCTCAACCTCTGGCTCTGGCTCAACCTCGACCTCCTCAGCCTCCTTCACTTCCTCCTCAACTTTCTTACTCTTCTTCTCCTTCTTTGTTTTCTTCCCCTCATTATCCTCCACACTACCATCTCTCTTCCTCTTTTTCTCTTTTTTCTCCTCCGCATGCTGAGCCTTCTCCTCCTGAGCCTTCATACCCGCCTCAACCTCCGCTTGTAACTGTGCCTCCATAGCTTGAAAATTAACCTCTTCCTCCTCAATTTTCTTTTCCTTCTCCTTTTCCTTTTTCTCCTCCTCATTCTTCTTCTCTCTCTTTGATTTTCTACCCGCAAGAGCGTCCTCCGCCTTCCTCTTCTTATCTTTCTTATCTTTCTTATTCAAATCTGCGATTGGAGTCGGTTCTGTATCCACAAAGAAATGCGCACTTGATTCCGTCTCCACCGGCGCACTTGTCGAGGGATCTTTTTTAGATTCTGGAACCGGTGCATCTTCCATTTCTACATCTTCATCTTCATATCCTCCTACTTCTGCTGCATCGGAGTCGGAGTCGGAATCGGAAGAGGATGATGAGTCTGAAGAGGAATCAGAACTATCGTTATGACTCTCATTGGTTTTGGTAGTAGCAGTGCCATTTTTCTCCGCCGCGAGACGAGCATCGAGTTGTGGAACAAGAGGTTCGTAACTTGTGCCCAAAACTCCCAATCCCTTTCTATCTTTCATCAAACGAGGAGGTAACTATTTCGCAATCGCATTAGTAAATCCCCATCATACCACATTCCATCCCCTTCCCCCAGAAAAACTCACCACAAACTGCGCCATCTTCCTCCCACTAACCAACGTATCCCTCCCCCTATCCAACAACCCACACAGAATCCTCCACGGCCCCTCCTCATTCAATTCCCACTCCCTCATCTCCTCCTCACTCAAATTCTTCATCTCGCCCTTCATCGCCTGTTGCACCCTATCCAACGCCTTACAATGCGCCTCCAGCACCCCCAAATGTTTTCGAAAAAGCGCGCCCCATTTCGCATGCACCGAGCGATTCATCAACGGAACCTCCGGTTTATTCGTACGCAGCGGATCTTTATCCCTGGGGAGTTTAGGTTTGCGAACCCGCTGATCCTTGGGGATTTTGGCTTTCTTTTCTTTCTTGGGTTTGGCGACCCGTTCGTTGTTGTCGCTGCGTCCCATGATGAGAAGAATTGATGGTGATGGCGAGGTAGAATGGTTTGGAAGGTTTGTTTATGGAAATTGAGATTGTCTTTGCGACATGATATTTTTCGCGGAATATTTGTTACACCGCCTTAGCTTGCATACGGCAGAATGATCTAGAAAATGGAGGAATGAAAGCGGTGTGGATCAATTTGGTGATGTTAAAGGTGTCGGGTGGAGTAAGTACAGTTTTTGAATCCTTTCAAGAGAATCTTCAATGGTATATACCTACCTACCAGTACCTACGTAAATCACAGAAAGTTAGAACTGGGAATAAGAGATTCAAGACCTGAGCCTCGCTTACTTGTAAATTCTCTCCGTTTTTATAGGAATACCTACTGTTCCTACGAGTTTATACTAAACATATCTTCCAAGTTACACACCCTGCGAGCCATCCGTATGATGAACATGCACCGCACAGTAAAACATACTCTACGTTACAACGAGTTCGACTAGATACAAACGGCTAATGATGAGCAGGAGAGAAACTCAAAAACGAAGGCGAAACGCTGACATGACCAGTATGGCATAATACCCTTAATGTAATTGACACACATCAATACAAAAACTAAAGCCATTCAAATAAACGTGGAAAATAACATCAAGTGGTATCATTGATTAAATTTTATTGGAATATATCATGGTATACGCGTTATTCAACCCGCAGATTCAGACCTTGAATCAAAACGCTTGAGTAAGATGCAGTTTATTCCCTTTTCCTCGTCCCAGCTACCCGATCACTCTCCTCAACCCGAGTCTCATCATCCCTCATACATTCGTATGATATAAAGTCTGGTAGTAACTCATCCAGAGTAACAAAAAATCCATATTGTCCAATCCGATAAAGCAACTCCATCGCTATGCATATTACAATATGCGCTTTTTTTCTTCTTCGAAAATGCAAAAGTAACATCTACTCCCACTCGCACCCCCATAATTCACCCTCCCATTTCGTAACTCTCATTGAAAATATAACCAAAAGCTTGATAAGAGCATCTTGGTTTATGTATACAACTTGGCCATTGAATCCCAACTATCAAGTAAACTTCTCTTCGTCGTAGTATTTGTCAAATCCAAATTGCCCAAACTACACCAATTGTTCACATCCTATTCTCATATTAGCTTGGCTTCAACAAAGGAATACAACCGAACAAAATAAGGGGAAAACTTACAATACAACTCAAATATTTGCACCAGCCGCAAGTCTTTCTATAGACATAGAAATTGTTTAAAAGTAAAATAAACACAATGAAGACGAAGACTAAGGCGGCTAATCTCAAAAGTAACCAAGCCCACCAAGCTGGTTTTCTGCCCTTGAAAAATCCCGAAGGATTTTTGAATAAACTAACGATACCACGATCACCTTGGCTCGCTTTGGTAGGGACAGGTGCGTATGGCGGATCTGATTGACCTGTTCGCATTCGTAAAGAATTGGGTGAACGAAGAATCGATAAACCGAGTACAAGACCCATAAGGAATCCTCCAATATGAGAGAAATTATCAAGACCGGGTAAAAGACCTAAGACGAAAGATATGATGATATCGAGCATGATAAAAGCCAATTCTTTCATCGGACTAACACGTTCTTTCCACTTATACAATAAGTCAAGTAGTGTAAGCGCAATGAGGCCAAAAAGAGCTCCTGATGCGCCTGTTGATGATATACCAGTTGCTGCAAAGTTTCCACCTAATATAAATCCAAATATTCCGCTGGAGATATAAACCAAAAAATATCGAATGGGTCCAATTAAAATTTCCATTTCTTTTCCCATAGTCATTTGAAGCAACATGTTGAAACCTATGTGGATGATTCCGGCATGAAGGAACATAGGTAAAATGAACCTATACCATTGATCTGGCGTTGCTCCAACTCCTCCAAATCCACACAGATCACTTATTGAACATTCGGCTGACGTTGAACTCGTTGTATTTGGACATGGCCAACTTATGGCACTTAAATCTGGTATGGCGGTCATATTATGCATACAAGGCGTGAACCTTGACCCCATGTTGATAACCACATATGGTGAAGGGCCAATCATAGGATTGAAGGATGGATGAATTTCGATGGGAGAGCCAGTAAGTTGAGCTATCTGATATTAGTATTTCATACTCAAAGTCTGCATCAAAATACTTACAATTCTTAACAATCTCCACAATAAATACTATCACTTGTACCAATGTGAGAGTATATGTAACGAAAGGGAAGCCTTTCTTTTTATTAATAAGTGACATAGCCATAGCGTCGCTCATTCTATTCTTCTTGTTATTCTGTAAATGCGAAGGTACTCCCGATTCTCCTGCATCATATACATGATCATTCAAGTTCGAATCATAAATATGATCTGTCGAGGCGTCCTTTGGTGGCACTTGCGGATTTTCTCGTAGAGGTATATCATCATTGGAGTAACCCATTCCATCATGAGGTCTGCCACCACCCCCTTGTGAGTAGTATTGTGAATTTTGTCCTAAGCTATTCGAGCTTTCTTGTCTATGCGGCGGCACATTTGGTGCTGGATATACATGATCATCGAACGGGGCTTCGAATGGTGAGACTGGTGACATTTCGTGAGGTCTAGTCGATCCTACTCGGGATGGAATCGAGCCTTGTCTTGAAGGTACTTGAGAATGATATGATGGAGGCACTGTGTTTTGTTGAGATTGAACATCGAATTGACTATGATATGGTTCTGGTGGTTCGGCATGTTGATATTGTTGTTGCTGATGTGAATAAGACGAGTTGTAATAATCGTTCGACGCCATTATCGATGTTGGATACGGTTTGAATGTATCGATTAACCGTATCGACTTGACACTATTGAGGAATCGTTTGTAAAGGTAGGAATGGTTCGCTCACATAAAAAAAGAAAGTCGAAGTTGCGATCGTCTGAAGATTGTACAAGCCTGAAACAAGAGATCCCCAAGGTCGAAATGCAGGTTCTTGGCTAAATATGTGCAACGAATGTGGAGATTTGACGCTGTCAAAATATCTTAGTGGTGATCAGTTACTATTCATAAGTATATTCATAAGTACTTTGTTTTTGAGTTTCTCTAAAATAGTGTGAGAAGAAGAAAAGTCGACGAATTTGTAGATGCTCGAGAATCTCGTAATGATTTCAGATAGGCTGGGGGTGGATATCAGATCTTTTTTGCTCTATCGTAGAAGCACTGCCTCGACCGAGGGCACTTGAGAAGGTTGTGTAAGGATAGAAGGGAAACAAAGGCTCGAGAAAGGCTCGAGAATGGTCAAGCAAGGGACTGGCTCGACTGGGTGATACCTACTCGTACTAGGTAGGTAGTAGGTAGTAGGTAGGTAGGCACAGGTAGGTAAGGTTACTCGATCGGAAAAGATTCTGTTTTTGGATTTGTCCCCGTTTCAGAACCAACCATCAAACCAAAGAGGCTCGAGAGGCTTGTACCTGAGCTGCTGTAGGGATTTTTAGCAGCCCGAGAACCTTAAAATGGCTCGAATATCGAATTCGTTGAATTGTGCGGTGAAGATTTACTTTTTCCTTACATTTGGAAGATTTAAGAATCAAACTGAGCAAAAGGAATTCATGCTGTCTAAAGTAAGGGTACGTCCGGTGAAATTGTCAAGTCGTGATCATCGTCAGAACGAGGTTTTATATTGCCCTGATTCATAAGCATCGATCCAGTGGGACTCACTTACCAACAAGTTGAAGAATCTAGCTCTCCATACATACAAAAATATTGATAGGGCTGTACAGAGTGGTGTAAGCTGGTCTTCTTTCATTCTAACAGCCAGCAGCAACAGGGCTACGTAACATTTTCGCGTCACTCTTGGCAACTCGACAATTCAGTGGAGAGAGCTACGCAAGTCGGGAGGAATTATGAGTATGGTTTCATCTCATCCAATCAAATTGATTAATATGTCGTGTCGATACTTTGTTTCTATTTACATCTTGAAAAGTGGCTGTGAGAAGTAAACAAGGCTGATTGGTTTTCCATGAAGCTCATCCATGAAATTGTTCAAGATCACCTGAATGAGGAAAATTATGGGGAAAAAAATATCCATTTAATTTGTTCGCGATCCAGCCCCCAATAAAGATTTTCATGACCTTTCTTGGGCCCCGTACCGAATGACATTTCATTAATTGAGCGTCATGAGTATCGAAGTAAACCCGTCCGAACTACCTCCATCATCGTATATCGTTATCATAAAATTCATTAGCTCCTGGAAAATATATCGCGTAGTCGCTGCAGATGTCTAAGGAGGACAATTGTGCACCGTCATAATAGTATCGCTACTGGGTACAATTGAAAATGCGGCGCTGGTGAAGGGGGGGAAATGAGCAATCGAAGTACGTGAGATTCATCTGTAAAACATTTGTTAGTCGAGGTTTCCTGAAGTTTTTCAGTTCAATCTGCTTTTTCCGGGACCAGTCTCGATCGCCATGATCAGATTCCTGCACGGTAGGTACTGTTCGAGGGGGAGTCAATGATAGTCTGAGCCCCGATGGACTCCTTTATGTCTCACTCGTGCGTCGGCTGGGGCGTGCTTGAACGGAAATTATTATATCTGAGGGTGATATCGATACATCGCATTGGAGAAATATTCGGGATTCTCTACACTTACATTATAGTGAGATGGAGATGGTAGTTCCATACTTCATATCTGCGATCCTACTCCAAGCAGAACTTGTGTTGCCAACGACCGCTCTGCTCACGTCCCCTATTGTAACTCTAAGTTGATCGTTGGAAACCACTTTTGATAGAAGGATCCTCCGAATGCTTTGATGAATGAAAGTGGTTAAACAAGAGAATAGAATATACCCCAATAGACTCATAAATAGAAGAATAATCGAATTCATAAACAGTTTTTCTCCTGGAGTCAACACATATGCCGAGAATGTAACCTCATATCGGTAGTTCATGAGTCGGATTTGGTGTATTAAGTTGTCTATGAAAGACGCTTGCCTGCGACGCTTTGATGAATCAGGAGAGGAGCATGAGTGTGA